TAAGTGACTTGCTCATGGTCACACAGCTAGTGTCAAGTGTCTGAGACCAGATTTGAACTCAGATCCTCCTGACTCCAAAGGCAAAGCTCTATCCATTGTGCTACCTAGTTGCCCCCATACATAAATTCTTTTTTTTTTAAGGCAATTGGGGTTAAGTGACTTGCCTAGGGTCACACAGCTAGTAAGTGTCAAGTGTTTGGTCTGAGGCCGGATTTTCAGGTCCTCCTGACTTCAAGGCCGGTGCTGTATCCACTGCACCACCTAGCTGCCCCCCATAAATTCTTAAAAAACTTCAATTCTCAGTATGGTGAAGCATGTTCAAAGAAATTCCACCATGAAATTCAGCATAAAAGTAGTCACATCAAAGCCCAGTGTTATTATAGTTTGCATCAAACCCATTGTTATTGCAACTTCCTAAGTATCATTATTTTCTGATCCTCTTTGGAGTTATGAATTCTGTACTTATAGCAAATCTCAGGAGTGAGGAGATGGGAGTGGGAGAAAGAGAGGGTCTTTTTCTATCTTTCTTTCTTGCTAGCCTGACATGCAACTTTCAATTTAAATTGCCATCTTCACATCGACCTGACCCTTGACTCAGTAGCGTCACCTAAACTGTACTCACAAACATTTTTTGAACTAGAATCATGGAATCTAGAATTGGAAGAGCTGAAAAAGACTTCAGAGATCATCTGGCCTTTTTTACTTTGGGTGCTTTTCTAACAAGTTAATTATCCCACTCCTATACTCCTGATCGACTTGTCTTTGGTTGCCTTTAACTTTTCATTCAATCCTTCTCTAAAAGCCCCAAGCTTCTTTTACAATGATACTCCCAGTGTTACTAGCCCACCTGGGTGATCTGATCTCACAAAACTTCAAAAACAATTTCTATGGTTTGAATATTTAGCATTATGATAATTTCTCATTCTCATTCCTCTAAGGATGAGTTATGATGAAGGAAAAGAATTAAAATAATCCAAATCTAAAACTTTCTCTTAATGACTGTGTGTGTGCAATGTAATAGAAGTATTATTCCCATCCTGCAGAATAGAAAGCTGATGCTCAGAGAGAATTTGCCTATAGAAAATGAAAATCAGAGTCAGGATTTACACTCAAGTTTTCTGGTTCCATGTCCAGCATGATTTCTACTATACCACATTGCTTCTGCTAGGATAGGGCTAATAAAAGCAGATTACTTAAATGTCAAGTAAAGGAGTTAGAGTTATACCTAGAAAATGACTTCATGAATCTGAGTGTGGTGAGATTTTTCCATTAGTCAGAGATATTGTTTTGTGAAGTTTTTGGATTCAGTCAAAGGGCTGCACTTGAGGACCTAAAGGGCCACATGTGGTCTTGAGGTCGCAGGTTCCCCACCCCTGGCCAAATCCTCTCTCAGGCTGTCATCATTTCCACCCCTCATGCAGGTGTGGAACATTGATCTTCACCAGTGTGGAAAGTCTCCTGCAGATGAACTTTAAGCCAATGGGTGTGTGTGTGTGTGTGTGTGTGTGTGTGTGTGTGTGTGTGAGACTGTACTACCTCCCCTAACAAAGTCCTTGTAATAAATATGCCGAATCAAGTGTAACATGTATTTCTCTCCAGCTACTCTCTGAAAGTCATTTCTATTGCATTTCATCCCTCTCTCAGGGTTCTTCAGTACACTTAAGGGGTTGGGGGAGTAGCCTCTGTTCTGCCATTGGCTGAAACTCTCACTCATTGTATTCTCCCCTTTTTAAGGGCAATTAACTAGCACCTCAATTCCATTTAACCATTTGACATCTGATTAGCTTTTACATCAAAGACATAGTAAGAACAAACATATGAACATTTTCCTCCAAAACCTCAGGCATATAATCTCAGGGATATAAACAACTTGATCTCTATAAAGAATGGGGGATTAAGCTCACAGCTTAACTCATTTCCTACATAGCATTAGTACCACCAAATTCAAGTCCAAAGTCCCTTGCTACCTTCTCAGACAGGGTTGGATGCAACATTCAGCTTGGAATCTGGGGTTCCCATGGTTCCCATGGCTTGAGGTCCCAGGTTGAGATTTAACTTTCTGCCTGTAGAATTGAAAAGGACAAAGGAAACAAACCAAAATCCTAGACCAAAACTCCAAGCCCATTTGTTAGGGCCATATGACCTAAGAAGGGAACCCTCAGGCTATCCCCACCTTACCACATGGTTTCACCTCTTATGAGTCCTTCATGCCTAGATACAAATATGGGAAAGAGAAAGACTGTACTGTCAGATAATTTTAAAGATGTAGATAGTTCTGGCAATGCGGACAATGGAAAAAGGCTGCTTCCAACCATGCAGTAGGCCAATGCAGGATATCCACGCATATGCCAGTCTTCCTGTCTCCAAGGAGAAGGTCCTAAGTGTCTTCCATGTGGGTGACATCATTTTTGGTGATCTGAGCTTGCACCAAATCCCATTAGACTAGTAAAATCCCACACTAGCCATGTCCAAGATCATATGTTTAATTCTATCACCTATCAGGAGGCTGTTATTGTTGTTGGAAAGTCATTTTAGTCATGGCCAACTCTTTGTGACTCTATTTGGGGTTTTCTTGGCAAAGATACTAGAGTGATTTTGCCATTTCCTTCTCCATCTCATTTTACAGATGAAGAAATTGAGGCAGAGTTAAGTGGCTTGCCCAGGGTCACACAGCTAGTAAGTGTCTGAGGCACTTTTAACTCATGAAGATGAGTTTTCCTGACTCCAAACCCAGTACTGTATCCACTGTGCCACCCAGATGCCCCCAGTCAGGAGATGGATACCATGTTTTATCACTGGTCCTTTGGAATCATGTTTGGTCAATGGTTGATTAATCAGAAAGTTATTGATCAAAGTTCTCAAGTCTTCAAAGTTGTTTTTCCTTACAATGTTATTATTGTATAAAATTGTTCTCTTAGTCTTGCTTCACTCTGCATCAATTCATACAAGTCTTCTTAGATTGTCTGAATCTATCTCTTTTGTCATTTCTTATATCACATTTATATACTATAATTTACCATAATATACCATCATTTGTTCAGCCATACCTCAGTTGATGAGCATCCTTTTAGTTTCAGTTCTCTACTGCAGCAAATGGTACTATAAATATTTTTGTACACACAAGTCTTTTCACTCTGATGTGTTTGAAGTACAGGCCTAGTAATGGTATCACTGGGTCAAAGGATATATGCAGTTTATTTTTTTAATCATAATGCTAAATTGGTCAATGATAATTTGTACATGGTTTCATTTTGTGATAACTAGGGCTGTGTGTGTGCTTCTCCTGACACCTGACTCAGAACATTTGACATTATGATCAAGGAAATAAAGTTGAGTTAATTAGTCCTCCGTGAATCGAGCACTGGATTTGGTATCATACTCACATTTCATTTTTCTGTTTTGCTGTGTTTTTTATTCTATGATTTAAAAAAATGGGCATTACTTCAACAAAACATGCAAATGTTGAAGCTCTTAAAGATGATCACACTTCAGTGACTGTTAGAGCCATCTCAGTGGCTGTTGGGGTGGGATCATTTGCACTGCAGAGCAAAGGAAAAATGTGGCTGAAAATGAAAAATAGCTCCAAGAACTTAAAAACTGTTGTTGCAAAACTGCCTAATTAATCCTCAGAAAATAGGCAGACTCTGAGAAGCTGGGCAATTTGCAGGGGTTGATATTGATTCCTCTACAGTGTGGCATGGGCTTATTAAATTTAGAGGAACAGCAAAAAGACCTTTTAAAAAAATCCGCTGACCACTGTGGTGAAGGGGAAAATGCTTGTCATAGAGAAGACAATGTAAGAATTTAATTTACACAACACTGAAAGTATCTGAGACAGGTCTTGCTGACCCTGAACTCAGTGCTCTATCCATCTCACCACCTGGAGAAAGGACTTATGATGCATATGAGAGTTGAATTCAACAACCTAACAAGCATTTATAAAGTATCTACAACATATTAGGCATTGTGCTAGATGCTAAGGATACACAAACATGATCCCCATGCTCGAAAAACTTACCTTCTACCACATTTATATATTTGAAGTGCTATAATGTGAAAGAGATATTAGGCCTATTCTTGACTCCCTTAGGGAAGAATGAAGGAATGATAGGTAGAATCTGATAGGAGATAAATTTAGGTTTGAGGCAAAGAAAAACTTAGTAAAGCCATCCCAAAAGTATAGCTGTCTCAGCAGGTAATGGATTTGTAGTTTCTACAAATCTAGTACCAGGGCCCCTAACTTGAGCTTATTTTCAGAAATGACCAAGGTAGGTTTGGCCCAATGAACAAAATGTATTACTTTTCTTCTAGTAACTTTATAATGTCTTTCCCCAATACTCCAGCCAGAAGTGATCTCTCTTCCTTCTTCAAATTCCCACCTCTCTGCTTTCCTTCGAGCACTTACCACCTTTACCTTCTATTTTGTTAACTGATCAAAGCTTGCTTTTGTTATTCCTGGAAATAAATTCCAAATTTGAGGAGAGGAACAGGGTATTGCACATCATAGGCACTCAGTGGACATTTGTTAGATGAAATTAGTTCACTCTCTACTCTGGTAAATTTTGCACAATGAAATAAGTCAATTTTGTCTTTTATTACTGTGGAACTACACTGTAAGATATGCTTCTGTTGTAGATGGCTGGCTACCACATTTCTAGCAGCCAGTCTTAATGCACAGCCCATATTCACATAGTAGTTGTGCAACTGCTCTCTCCACTCTGACTCACAGCAATCTTCCTTGTTCCTGAATTCCTTAGTATGTAGGACAATAGGTTCATAGACTCATAGATTTAAAGCACTGTTGAACAACAGCCTTTATTGCTTTTAAATTATTCTCTGCCTGTAAATCTTTGCCTCTTCAATGAGGTCATAAATTCAAAGCTAGAGGTTCAGCCTTACATTTCTTGTGCCTCCAGGCACAGTATTTGGGGCTCATAATAGTTATTAATTGTTAAATTTAAATGGACTGGGGTGTTTAATTTTCATATCTTTGTTTTTAGATTTTGAATACCATTCGAAATGCAAGTGATCTGCAAGTTGTGGATACTAAAATGAATGAATGTACTGAAGAAATCAATCGGTTGTTTGATGTACTCATGACTTTAGAAATGCAATTGGTTGAACAGTTAGAGGTAAGTCAAAACCTTTGATTATGTAATATTACCTTAATTGGGGAGGTAAGGAGGTTGATCTGCAAGGTAGAAGGCAGCAGCTGTTACCAATAGTCCAAAGGAGGGTACCAATTTCTCCCCCACAGAAAGCAGTGGGAGGATAGAGGAAGCTTGGTGACTCTGTGTCACCAAGGTCGTAACGGCTGAACTCTTGGCAGCACTTTTTGAGCCTTTCTGAAGACTCTTGGGCATTCTTGTGTTAGAGGTCATAGGACTCTGACATGGAAGCTGAGAAGGCCAGAAAGAATCACAGACAACAGGACAGCTTTGAAAATTATGTGTTAAATTCATTACATATTTTAAAAGAACAAGTTGCAGTTTTATATACAATCTTCTTTTTCTTTTCTACTAAGTGTATGGAAATGCCCATTTTATTTGGTGTTGATTTCAGAATTAAAAAAATAGACTTCAAATAGAGGCGCATGGTCGTTACAAGTCACAGTGGTCTTGTAAGAATCTGGGCATGTGGTTGAAAGAACATGAAATGCTAAATTGTTCTTGTTGGCCTGCTATTATATGACGAAATCAGAGTATTCTCAGTAATGGTTTGATTAAAGCAGTTTTATCCAGTTAATCCTATCTTCGAAAATATTTTTTAATAGTTTTGAGTTGAGACAGTTTTTTTGGGAAATAAAGATGGGTTAATTTCTTTGGACTTTTTCATGTATCCAAAGAGAAGTACATAACTACCTCAATATAGTTCTTACCTGTGGTGGGAAAGAGATTTTTTTTTAATATTAAAGGTCTAAAAAATGCTCAACTACTCATCTTAAGTAAGACCAGTAAAAAGTAGAATTTACCTTTGGGGAGCTACACAAAGCCACTTTTTAATTCCAGGTAAAAGTTACAAAATCTAAAAATAAAACTATAAGAAGCGTCCAACTGAAAAGTAAATGGTTAAAATGAGAACTTAACAATATTAAAAATCTATTAGAAACCCTAGAGACTTGTGATTTTACAAGGTAAAATATGGGTGCAGTAGATTGAAGTAAGCTGACGGATTGAGCAGTTAGGTGATGCAGTGATAGCCTAGAGTCAGGAAAATTCTTCTTCCTGAGTTCAAATCCAACCTCAGATACTTACTAGCTGTGTGACCCTGGAAAAGTCATTTAACTCTATTTGCTCAGTTTCCACATCTGTAAAATGAATTGGAGAAGGAAATGGCAAAAACCACTCCAATATCTTTGCCAAGAAAACCCCAAATGGTGTCATGAAGAGTCAGACACAATTGAACACAACTCAGGTGAGCTCCTATCCAATTAATTCTTCATATTTAAAATTGCACCTTAAACAATATATGGCTTTCCCTGTCACTTGAATAGCAGATGATTATTTCCTGCTACACAGAAAAGAATATGTAACACTTTAGAAAATGTGATTTTTGATATAAAGAAAAATATTTTAAGTGAACTTCTAAAGGCCCAAATCAAGCTATCAAACATGTTGAATGTGTTCCCCCTTCTTCAGGAGTTAATTGATTTGGTATCTAACAATTCAAGTTAGCTTTTCTTTTTGTCCTTTACAGGAATCTATAAATAGCTTTGAAAGGAACATTACAGACATAGTGGGAGTATTTGTTGAAAATGTACAAGGCCTATATCCTTTCAATGGTGTCTCTTCCGTTGTTTATAGATGAAATGATGATATGTTGCTGGAATCCCTAAGATTACTCCTACAGGTATGATCATTAAGTTGGTTAAAGATTGGTATTTGGGGGGGGAAATACTACCTTTGTATGGGGTGTGAATTTTTTAAAATATGGTTGGACTTACATGTTTTACATAGTCTCCTTCAAAGGAGTTATAGTGGGAAACTATCTGTTCTAAAAATGGCCTCTGTTCAGAACATATTTAAAATTTTTCTCTGGGCACTGTCTATAGAGCAAAGTTGGTGTTCCATGCAAGAAACTAATTTCATTACTTTTATAGTGTGCTTCATTTTTTTTTATATTACCAATACCAACATTTCCTAGATTGATAATGGATATTATTCGCCAGACTTACAGTGCACAAATTAAATGGAACACAGTAAAATAAATAAGTAAAATAATAATTTTCACTGACATAAAATAAGTCTTACAACTTAATGTCTTTAAATGCAATATCTCCTTTTGCTGTATTCACTTTTTTTAACATGATTTGGCATTAAGTTCACAAGATTCTGACACATTTTTTAATTTTTATCATGAAATCACACTTGTGTGACATTGGAGAGCAAGCATAACGTTAGTAAATAGTAAATTATTCTAAGTCTAGCTTTGCTTGTAGGCCAGAGGTTTTCACTGAGGTATAAATAGGCACATTCCCAGGCTATTGAAGCATGGCTATCTCTATTTCTTGGCTAAATTTCTTAATTTTTTGAAATATATGTGTAGTGTGGTGCAAAATTGTCTTGTAATATCCCATCTCCATTTGGGAATCTCTATACATCTGTAATAATTCTGTTCCTGAGTATGTCAGTATTTTTATCAGAATTCCCTCACTGGGGATGACTTCCAGGCCCACTGGACTTAAAAAATTCCCAAAACATTTTTTGAAGGTGGATGTTTTACAGTCTGATGAAGATGTTTAGATCTTATAGAATCACCTAGACTTCTACCTATAGTTTTTGTATAGCCTTGAGTGAAAAAAGTGAATTTCATTAGTAAAAAGTTTTTTTCTGTTCTTCCGTAATAATAGCTAACATTTATGTAGTACTTCTTAAGGTTTGCATAGTGCTTTACACATGTTATGCTATTGGTCCTCGCAAAAAACCAGTAAGTTAGGTGGTATTATTATTCCCATTTTGCAGATAAAGAGATTGAGATTATGAAAAGTCAGTAGACTTGCCCAGAGCCCCAGAGCTACTAAGGCAGGTTTTGACCTCAGGTCTTTTCTTACTCTATGCCTCACATTCTGTCCACTGGGCCACATGGTTACAGTACCCTGTTCTTTCATTGTCTTTCCCATCACAATGGTTTTTCTTCCTCCTGATAGCTAGCCGATTTTTAAAAAAAACTGGTCTTCTAGCTGTTTTTCCAACTTAAAGAAACCTCTGTCACACTGGAGAGAAATCAATATCAACCCCTCCAGTTGCCAGGTACCTCTAAAGGTTTTTACTTTTTCTCTAAGGGTGAATTAAGCTAATTTGCATCAGTACTTTTTAAGTCCTTAGCATTGTTTTTCATTTTTGACCACACTTTCCTTTGCTCTTCTGCTGATTATTGTGGGCTTCACTCAAATCAACAAACATTTATTAAGTATTTAGGATGTTCCAGACACTGTGCTAAGTACTGGAGATAGAAAGAAAAAACAAAAATGGTCCATTCTGCATTCTTTTTTTTTTTTTAAAAGAAATTTCTACCGATATATTTTGTTTTTAAATTGTCTCAATTTCTGCCCATATCCCTTCTCTTTCCTTCTCCCAGAGACCCAGAACTTATAACAATAGCAACCACCACCACACACACACACACACACACACACACACACACACACACACACACATGAATGTATGTGTGTATGTATGTATGTATGTATGTATTTATTTAAAAGTACACTGATGCTTTTTTGGTGGAGCTGTGACTTTGTACAACCATTTTGGAAAGCAATCTGGAATTATACAAAGTTGCTAAAATGTCCGTACTCTGCAGAATTCCACTGCAAAGCATATACAAGGGCCCCATCTATACCAAAATGTTTATCACAGCCTTTTAAAAATTTGCTATCTTATTTTTCCCCAATTATATGTAAAAACAATTTTAACGTTCTTTTTCAAATTTTGAGTTCCAAATTCTCTCCGTCTTTCCCCACTTCCCTTCATTGAGAAGGTAAGCAATTTGACATAGGTTATACATATGTAGTCATGTAAAACACATTTCCATGTAAATCACACTGTAAAAGAAAAAACTGACAAAAAATCCCAAGGAAAATAAAGAAAAAGTATGTTTGATCTGCATTCAAGCTCCACTAGTTCTTTCTCTGGAGATGGACAGCACTTTTCATCATAAGTCCTTCAGAATTATCTTGGATCATTGTATTGCTGAGAATAGCTAAGTTATTCACAGTAGATCTCCATATAATATTGCTGTTACTCTGTACAGTGTTCTCCTGGTTCTTCTCATTTCACTTTGTATCAGTTCATTTAAGTCTTTCCAGGTTTTTCTGAGAGCATCCTACTTATCATTTCTTACAGCATAGTAGTATACCATCACAATCATATACAACAACTTGTTCAGCCATTCCTCAATTGATGGAAATCTCAATTTCCAATTCTTTACCACCACTAAAAGACCTGCTATACTCAGCCTTTTTTGTGACAGCAAAAAACTGAAAACAAAGTAGCTTCCTGTTGATTGAGGAGTGGCTAAACAAATTGTGATTCGTGCATGTAATGGAGTATTGCTGTGCTATAAGAAATGATGAATATGATGGATACTAGGAAGCATAGGAAGACCTACATGAACTGATGCAAAGTGTAGTAATCTGAGCAGGGAAAGCAATCTATAAAATGATTACAACAACGTAAACAGAAAGAACAACCACTACAAAACAGTTATGAATGAATGTTATGAAATCCTAAAGAAAAGCTTGTGCCAAAGAAGAGATGTCAGGAGACATCTCACCCCAGTACTTTGCAGTGCTGAGGGTGGTAGGGTCTGGGAGTGTTGGAGCATTGCATATGACGTCAGTTTTTCTGAAATTTTTCTTCTATTCTTTCTCTTTTTCTTTCATTCTTTTTTGGAAAATTCCACGTAATGGTTCTCTGGAAAGGGGAAGGAGAAAGATATAGAGGGAAATCTAGGCAATTTAAAAACAAAAGATGTCAATAAAAATCTGTTTCTAAAAGAACAAGAAATATTCCACAAAACCAATCAACACATAAAAAACTTTAATGTTATATGCAGTGTTCCAAACCATAGTCCTTAACTTCCACAAAGGAGTGGGAGAAGGGAGATGTCTTCTATCTCTTCTTTGGGGCCAAGATGATTATTTATGTAACCTTACTAGACTTTGATGGGATGCTTATCCCAACTCTCATTCACACTAGAAAATTTGGTCCCCAGAAGGCATCTTTATCACCCACCCATATTACCTTACCTCCCCCAAGGGCTCTAGAGGTACCCTGGAGAGGCAGTGAGTACCATCTGAAACCCCACTTCATTGTGTTCCCCCCAATACCAATCATTCAGGGACTATTAATAAGCCCTTATTGAATACATTGATTAGCTTCCTACTCTCAATTTAACCCTTTATTTCTCCTCAATACTGATTAACCAATTAAGGATATTTTCTGAGGTTATAGCAAGAACAAAGTACAAACATATTTCCCAGAACTGGGGCACATCCTCCCCTCTATTCCTCAGACTCTGAGGAGAACACGTTTGGAGTTAAAGCAAGTGCTATAAGCACGTGTTCACCTCTTTAGTGTGCCCTAGCCACTGGACAAGCTTGTAGGACATGGCCACCCCGGCTGCCAAATCAACTCATTTCTATCTTGAGTCACAGGTCACTCCTCAGGGATGGGGCAGCTATAGCCACTGACCTTCTCTGCAGGCTCTTTGGACCTTTCCGAGTACACCAGGTCATTCACTCTATCCTCCACCCTCCTTCATCTAAGAATAGGAAAGAATAGACACAACCACAGAAGCCACATGATGGTCGTGTGGTCATGGGCCCCATGGGCCCCATGCCTCAATGTCCTCATCAAGAGTCCATAGCAATTCATGCCTTCTTTATCACTAGGGAAGTGAAAAATGAATGACTACTTACTGCCTTTTTTCTACACATTCATTTCTGGCTCAGCAGCCAGTTAAAGACTTTTCTTCACTCTGCAGGAAGTAGGCAGGAAACAGTCCCAGAATGCTTGTGCATGCTCTGAAGTGGAGAGCTGGGACCCTCCATCCTGCATCATTGTGCACTTCCAGAAGAAGGCGGCCCAGAATCTCTGTGGGTCAAGACCAGGTAGAACCTACTGTGTCTGCTCCCACGATGAGGCAGGCCCTCCGGTGAGAGTTCTCCATCATGCTTATGAGGAGGTCACATCTGAACAGAGGGGACGATATACATAAATCAGTGCATACAAGTTAAATAAAGAGTATATAGAAGTAACCTTAGAAGGGATAACATTAGCAGCTGAGGGATCCAGAAGAGGCCTCCTGAAAGAGGTTGTGCTTCAGCTGAATCTTAAAGAAAGCCAAGTATCCTAAGAGTTCAAGGTCATAAAGCACAGTCAGTGCAAAGGCATGAAGACCAGAATAGCTGGATTGTAGTGTGTGATGAGGAGTCAAGTGGAAGGAAGGATACTGCAGTGGTGTTATAGGTGGAGGTCTGTATCTGGAAAAGCTGAGAGGACAATCTTAGCCTCAATCTAAGATGGGATCCTCCTGGCTCAGTTTCCCCATTGTATTCCTTTGAAAAGGAATGTTTTCCACCTGACTATTCCTGAGTCTGGCTATGAGGTGGAATTGATACTGCATGGTTAGAAAACTGTGATGTTTTATCTAATCATGTCCTTACTTTTCCTTTTTATGGCAAATTTCTGTAGTCAAAGCAAGTGGTCAGTAAAAGATGTGAGCGCAATGCAAGTATGTGAAATTTTGCTGTTTTCAATTTGAA